TTAGGCTATTCAAAGCTCCTTGCAATTCCATATGTATTTGAGGATTGGCTTTTCTATCTCTTCAATGTGGTATATTGTGTTCATTGATTTTCTTTATGTTGAAGCACCCTTGCATTTCTAGGATAAATCTCATTTTAAAGATTATGGTGTGTAATCCTTTAAAAAACACCTCTTGATTCAGTTTGCCAGTATTTTGTTGAGTTTTGCATCTATATTCATAAGCAATATTGGTTCTAATTTTCCTGTAATGTCTTTATCTGGCTTTGGTATCAGTGTAATTCTGGCCTTACAGAATGAGTTATGAAGTATTCCTTCCTTCCTCTTCTATTTTTTGGAAGGATTTGAGAAGGACTGGTGTTAATTCTTTAAATGTTTGGTAGTAGACCTTTTACTTTTATGTAACTATTGATATGGTTGAATTTAAAACTACTGTCTTACTGTTTCTCTCATCTGTTCGTTGTTCCTTTTTTCCTCTTTCCCTGCATTCTTTGGAATTATTTTAAAAAAAATTGAATTTTATTTCTGCTATTCGCTTATGAGATATGCCTGTTATAGTTTTTAGAAGTTGTTCCTAGGGTGTACAATATATGTCTTATAACTTACCACTGTCTGTCTTCAAATAGGAAACCCAGGTAGTGTTTAATGGTTAAGTGCTAGGGCTGCTAACCGTAAGGTTGGCAGTTCACATCCACCAGGTGCTCCTTGGAAACTCTAGGGGGCAGTTCTACTCTGCCCTGTAGGGTTTGCTATGAGTCGGAATCGACTTGATGGCTACGGTTTTTTTTTTTTTTTAAAATCTTCAAATAATATTATACCATTTCATATATAGTGTAAGTAGACTGGGTTTAGAATCTTCGCCTGGGAATGTTTTTTTCTTGTAATACTTTATGTTGCTCCATCTTCTGACTTGTGCAGTTTCTGCTAAGAGTTCTGTCACCTTTACCTTTTCCCTTTGTCTTTTTCTCTGACTCCTTTTATGCCTCCTTGCCCACAGCTGGTTGTAACATTATTATTTTTTTGATAACTAGTTTTCAGCTATGTGCTTATGATTTGCCTTTATGTTTGTTCTACTTGGGGTTTGTTGAGTTTCTTGGGTCTGTAGGTTTATAGTTATATCTTTGAGTTTTTTCTCCCAATCATGTTTTCCTGTATTCACTTGCATGTATAGAATTTATTTATAATAGCTGTTTTAATCTCCTTGTCTGCTAATTCTACCACTTCTGTCATTTCTAAGTCTGTTTCTAGTGACTGACTTTTTTCCTAGTTATGGAAAAAAATATGTTTATGTTTTCCTGCTTGGTAATTTTTTTTACCTTTTTTTTATTGTGGTAAATATGTATGACATACTTGCCATTTCAGCATTCTTCACATGTACAATTCAGTGACATCATGTTCATCGCGTGTGCAGCCATTCCAGATTTTCCATCGTCCTTAACAGAAGCTGGAGCCCTGGTGGCGCAGTGGTTAAGAGCTACGGCTGCTAACCAAAAGGTTGGCAGTTCGAATCCACCAGCCACTCCTTGGAAACCCTGTAGGCAGTTCTGCTGTGTCCTACAGGGTCACTCTGAGTTGGAATCCACTCGATGGCAGCGGGTTAATAGAAGCTGAGTGTCTCCTAAGCAGTGACCCTCCCTCTCACTCACCCCTGATAACCATTAATATACTCTGATCTGTATACATTTGCCTGTTTTTAGATATTTAATATAAGTGGAATACAGTATTTATCCTTTTGTAAGTGACTTACTTAAGAAACTCAGTATGTTTTCAAGATTTATTTATGTTTTAGCATGTATCAGTACTTCATTCTTTTTCATAGATGAATAATATTGCATTGTATGTACATACCACATTTTGTTTATCCGTTCAATCTGCTGATGGACACTTAGGATTTTTCCGTCTTTTGGCTGTTGTGAATAGCGCTGCAGTGAACGTTGGTGTCTAGGTATCAAGAACACTGGGGTTTGTGTCCCTGCCTTCAGGTCTTTGCGGTATATTCCTAGTGTATTCTGATCTTTATGTGGTTTTGGTGTTTGATTTTGTCTCTCCTTTAAACACTTTCAAATTTTTTTTGGTGCGTGGTTAAACTACTTGGAATTAGTTAAACCTTTGAAAGATTACTTTTTAAGCTTTGTTAGGGTAGACCCAGAACAGCCTTTAATCTGTGGCTAATTTTACCCCCTGAATAAGGTGATAATTTTCTGAGCGGTATATCCTGTGTTGCTTATATTATGAAGTCTTTCTTCTTTGGTTGCAGAGGATATGAACACTTCCCAGTCCATATGAACTTTGTGGGTTGTCCTGCCTGTTTCTCTCCAGAGGTTCATTTTCTGGCCTGGGGTAGTTTATTCTCCTGTGTGCTCACATCAATATTCAGCCAGACACTTAGAGAGCACCCCCTTTCAGTCTCCAGACATCTCTGTTCAGTTGCCCCCTCTCTGGTACTCTGTCGCCCCAGCTTTAAATGTCTTGGCCTCCCCCAACTCCTCAATTCCATGAAACCTTCCAGGTCTGTGTGGGTTTCCCCTCCCTGCACGTTGACCCGGAAACTGCTTCTAGGCAGGAGGTTGGGCCACTCGCAGATCTCAGGTTGTTTCTCTTATACATTTTGTCCAATTTTTAGTTGTTTATGGCGGTGGATTAAATTAATTCCCTTTTATTCCATCACGGCCGGAAGTGGATGTAATAATCTTTACCCTTTTTTTTAAATCACTTCAATGTTAGTTATTGACATCATGTCAGTTTACCTCTAAATAGTTAACATGTATCTCCAAAACATCCACTTACCCTATAACCACATTGTTGTTGTACTGAAGAAATCAATAATAATTCCTTAATATCATCTGATATCTATTCCAGTTTGCCTAGATTGTATTTTTATAGTTTTTTTTTTTTTTTTTTCAATCCAGTATCCAGATAGGAGCCCTGGTGGCGCAGTGTTTAAGAGTTTGGCTGCTAACCAAAAGGTAGACAGTTCGAACCCACCAGCTGCTCCTTGGAAACCCTGTGGGGCAGTTCTGCTCTGCCCTGTAGGGTCTCTATGAGTTGGAATTGACTCGACGGCAACGAGTTTATCCAGTCTAGACAAGGATCATGTATTTTATTTGGTTATCTCTCTGTCCTTTTTTACCCCAAAGTTGTTTACTTCTCAACTGGGTTGTTTTTCTGTTTTGCCTTTTTTTTTTCCCCATTGTTTTTGCACTAATATGTTTGTACAGTGTCATGTTCATGGTTGGTGGTTCTTTTCTGCCCAGATTGTTTGGCTATGATGTACATAATATGGGTGAGTTCTTTTTTCTTTTCTTTCTGTCTCTCAGACTAGCATTATTATTATTTTTGCCTTCAAGCCATAGTTCAAGAGACTGCTTATTTTGTGTTTTACCTGTTTTTCTGGAGACATAGGGTCATGATCATGTATAATCTTTATTAGAATTCCAAGGTTCTGTTCTCCTTTGAGGAGCCCTGGTGGCACAGTGGTTAAAGTGCCTGGCTGCTAAGCGAAAGGTTGGTGGTTGGAACTCACCAGCCGCTCTGCAGGAGGAAGACATGGCAGTCTGCTTCTGTAGAGGTCCACAGCCGCGGAAGCCCTGTGGGGCAGTTCTCTCTTCTGTAGGGCTGCTGAGTCGGAGTCGACTTGATGGCAATGGGTTCTTTGGTTCTCCTCTGAGCTTTTTTCCTTAAGTGATTTGTATGGCTTCTGAGGAATATGGCAGCGTTAGGAGTCCAGCGTGCTATAATTTTCTACTTCTTTGTTAGAATATTCTTTTTGTTTCCGTGGCTGCCTGCTTGAAAAGATTATACCATTGAGTTATATGCTCAGTGTTGTGTTGGTATACTCACTCTCTGGAAAGAAGAAAATATTCTCTGGTTTGTAGGTTTTTCCAATTTCAGTGGTTTAATACTCCCTCCCTGGCTGATTTCAAGCTACCAGTTTTTCACTGAACACAGCGTTGGAAAGAGATGTGCAGAACTGGCACTCATGAGCCTGTGCTAGCCGGAGCCAGCATACTCTGCTTATATCCGTTTCTTATTCGGCATCAGTTCTTGAGTGTTTTTCCTTCTTCTTCATCCCCCCCCTCATTTTATTAAGTATTGGAGTTGAGAAATTATATAATAAAGTTTCAGTTCATTATCTTCATTGCTTTTTTTTCTTCTCATTACTGAGATCATATATTAAATACTGATATTTAGGCATAATTAACACAGAAACATTCATAGAACTTGATGTAGAAGATAATAATGAAGTGAACTTGATAACCGGGTGTCCCTGGGTAGCATTTTTAATTTTTCCCGTTCAGCCCTGTGAATCATAATCTGAATTGTAAAAATTCAGAAAATCATTACTCAGGCCTTGCCCGTGAAAGTGGACATTATGTTGCTTTATAAAATTACTTTGTGTGTGGGACAGAAAAAAGATGTGGTTCACTAACTTTCCCAGTAGTGTTCCATCCATGTACATAGTTGAGCTTTTGTCACAAATGCTTCACTAGAACAGCAAAGCTTTAAGTTATCGGAAACGGCAAAATTTTTTGTCTGAACCATGACTTAAAAACTGGACCTTTTTTCGTGCTGAAAAAGGAGTGGAAGCCGCAGCTTTGCAAAGCCAAGCTTGCTCTTTGGCTTCTTAGCCCACCTATAAGATATCCAGATTAATAGACTTTATTTTTTAGAGCAGTTTCAGGTTTACATAAAAATTGAGCAGATGCACAGAGAATTCCCACGTGTGCCGTCCCCCCTTCACAATTTCCCCTTTTCCATACATCTTGCATACCTGTGGTGCATTTGTTGATTGAGTAGCCAACCCGGATAGATTGTCATTAACTAAAGTCCATAGTTTACCTTGGGATTCACTCTTTGTGTTGTACAGTTCTGTGTGTTTTGGCAAATGTATAGTATCATGTACCCACCACTGCAGTGTCGTACAAATTTGTTTCACGACCCTAAAAATGCCCCATGATTCACCTATTCGTCTCTCCTCCCAACCCCTGGCAACCATTGATCTTTTTAGTCTCTCTGTAGTTTTGCATTTGGTTTTGAAAAAGAAAGAAAATACTCAAAAGGCCTCGTACTACAGTTTCTACATTCTTGATTTCTTCTCTTGTGTGATGTAGTTTTTTAAACCCAAATATAAACTCAAAAATATTTTTAAAGATTATGGAAAATGCATTAGTAAAGTATTCAATTATTTAGTCTTGATTTGTAAAATTTCCACACTGGTGGGCTTTAGTATCACTTATACGCTGGCTTCACTCTGTTTTCCTTGCTGGTTGCAGGGATTGTTTTGGATTCCATTCCTTTCACCTCTTGAGAGAAGTGCATTCGAGAGGAGGATGAAATAATGCAATAGTAATTTAAATTGAATGGTAACTCAAAAATAGTTTAAATTTAATGGTCCTTTCAAGCCAAGCTTTGTGCAAAACAGTTTCTATGCATTTAAGGCAATGATTGTTGTTTACACTTTACAGATGAAAAAAACCTGAGATTTAAAAAAAGTTAAATAATTTAACCAGCCCAGGTGGTCATGGCTAAGAAGTATCAAAATTCAAACCCCTTTCTGTTTTTATTCCAGAATTTGTGGCCTCAATTTGTGTATGCAGGTTTTAAAGAGGAGTTTAGGGAAAGGAGGAGGAGAGAAGAGGAGATGAGGATGATGGTAACATTTTGAGCTTTTCCTTATCCTAGAGGTACTTTGCTAATTGCCACACATGGTTTAAATCATTTACTCCATCTCACAGCCTTAAGAGAGAGAGAGGTACTTTATTTATCCCCATTTTACAGATGGGAGAATGAAGCTGAGGGGTTTTTCATTTTTAATAAGCTAATAAACGAAGGTAATGAGATTCAAGCCCAGGTAATTTGACTTAAGAGCATGTACCCTTAACTATATAGTGAATCAACACTAAAGTGCTTAAAGAGAACATTTTAGTGGTAGAGCACTTAAGACTTTATTCAGTACATTAGGTGAGCCATTATAGATTTCTAAAATTATTTTATAAAAGAGGGTAGTTTTAAGAAGAAGAAGTTTTACTTGATTTGTTAAAGAATCATTGTTTTTTGACTTCTGCTCCTAGCTAAGATGGAGTAACAAGGACCAGATTTACCCTCTTGCCTAAACAGACCAACAAAATTAGAGAAAATATACGAAACAGTGCTTTTTAAAACACTGGTCATCAAGCAGTGAAGAACAGTGAGCCCTAAGAGAGGAGCGAACAGTGAGCTGAGCCCTATGATTGCTCCAACTTTCCTTTTATTGTACTTTAGATGAAGATTTACAGAGCAAACTAGTTTCTCATTAAACAGTTAATACACATGTTGTTTTGTGACATTTGCTACCAACTCCACGACATATCTACACTCTCCCCTTCTCAACCTTGGATTACCCATTACCAGTTTTCCTGTCCCCTCTTGCCTTCTTGTCCTTGCCCCTGGGCTGGTGTGCCCCTTTAGTCTCATTTTGTTATATGGGCCTGTCTAATCTTTGGCTGAAGGGAACCTCAGGAGTGACTGCAGTACTGAGCTAAAGGGGTGTCTGGGTTCCATACTCTTGGGGTTTCTCCAGTCTCTGTCAGGCCACCAGTAAGTCTTTTTTTTTGTGAGTTAGAATTTTGTTCTACATTTTTCTCCAGCTCTGTCCGGGTCTCTCTATTATGATCCCTGCCAGAGCAGTCGGTGGTGGGAGCCAGGCACCATCTAGTTGTTCCAGCTTTTGTTTCTTGAGAAAATTTCCTGGCTGCGGTGCTGCGAGAGGGAACCAGGTGGGCCCCAGTGAACACCCTGAGGAGATGGAGTCGGGAATGAAAGGAGACCAGGGTGGCTAGCATTCACAGAACAGAATAACGGAGTGGAAAGAGCTACATGGAGAGAGACTCCCTAAGATCTAGAGAAGGCTTCCATTAAAAGTGTTGAGCAGAGTACTACTGATCAGCACATACATATGAAGAAGCTTACCTGAGACCAGGGAAAGAATCCTAAAAAGATATTAGAGAAAACAGTGCTAAGTACTTACATAGGGCCAGGAATGGTGCCTGTTCTCATTGGCCAGTCTGGAAAAACTCATATTTGTGGAGCATTGAGTAGAGTACTCAGATAATCTTGCCTCAGTACTGGGGAATAATTTTCTTTAGAATGAGCACTGCTGTGGACATACCAAAAAAATCATAAAAGCAAGACCAAGAAGGATCACAGTAACTGTACTGTGTCTCAGAACAAAACTCAAGAATGTTTATAGAAATACAAAAAATGTCCAGCACCCTGCAAGGTAAAATTTACAATGTCTGGCATCAGTTCATTCAAAGATCATCAGGCATACCATGAAGCAGGAAAACATGACCCATAATGAGGAGAATAATCAGTTGGAAGCAAAGCCCAGAACTGACACAGACATTGGAATTATCGGACAAGAACATTAAAAGAGTTATTATAACTGTATTTTATATATTCAAACAGTTAAGTAGAGGCATAGAAGATATAAAACAGACTGAAATATAACTTCCAGAAATGAAAAATATTAGATGGTAAATACTGGATGGAGTTAATGACAGATTAGACATTGTGGAAGATTAGTGAACTTGAAGACATAGCAGTAGAAACTAACATGAAACACAAGAGAACGAGGAATTTTAAAAACTAAGAAAAGACTACCAGTGGGCTGTGGGACAGTTTCAAGCAGACTAATATACTTGTGGAGCCCTGGTGGCGCAGTGGTTAAGAGCTCTGCAGCTAACCAAAAGATAGGCAGTTTGAATCCACCAGTTGCTCCTTGGAAACCCTATGGGGCAGTTCTTCTCTGTCCTATAGGGTCTCTATGAATTAGAATCGACTTGGTGACAACGAGTTTGGTTTTATTTTTTTAGTTTAGAGTGTACTTGTAATTGGAGTCCTTGAAGGGGTGGGGAGGATCCGAAAACATTTGACGAAATAATGGCTTTAAAAAAAACGAAAACAAACTTTAACTGGACAGATACACGTAGTTTGCTGAAACCAAAGCTCAAGAAATATGAAGAAAACTACAGCAATCACATCATTATCAAATTGTTCAAAACAATAATAAAGAAGAAGATCTTAGAAATGGAGAAAAAAGATACATTACATTCAGAGAAGCAAAGATAAGGATGACAGCAAATTTCTTGTCAGAAAGAGTGCAAGTGGAAAGATTGTGGAGCAGTACTTCTGCAGTACTAACAGAAAAAACAAAATACCTGTAAACACCTGGCAACCTTGAATTCTATATCCAGTGAAAATACTGTTCAAAAATGAAGACAAAATAAAAACTTTTCCAGATTTATAAAAGCTGGACGTATTCATCAGCAACAGAAGAAATGTTAAAGGAAGTCATTCAGGTAGAAGGAAAATGATACCAGGTGAAAATACGAATCTACTCAAAGGAATGAAGAGCACTGGAAATGATAAATATAGAAAAAGTTTTTCTTATTAAATCTCTTTAAAAGATTAATGTCTGTTTAAATCAGAACAGTAACGTATTGTAATGTTTTAATATATTTGTAAGTAAAATGTACGACTGCAAATTCCTAGAGGCCAGGAGGAGAGGAATAGAAGTATGCTAATGTCAGGTTTTTATATTATACACGAAGCGGTTTAATACCACTTGATGTGTGGGCTGTTTTAAGTTAAAGATGTATTTTATAAGCCCTAATGCAATCATAAACATAACCAAAGTTGTAGCTTATAAGCCAACAAAGAGATAAAATGGAGTCATAAAAAACAATTAGTCCAAAAGAAGGCCAAAAAAGAGGAAAAAAGAACAAAGAATAGATGAAACAAATAGAAAATAACAAGATAATAGACTTAAACCTAATCACATCAGTAACCACTTTAAATATAAATGATCTAAACACCCCAATTAAAAGGCAGGGATTGTTATAGTGGATAAAAAAGCAAGACTCAACTATATGCTGCCTACAAAGAACACTTTTTTTTTTTTTTTTAATTGTGATTTAGGTGAAAGTTCACAGAGAAAATTAGTTTCTCATTCAACCAAAAATTTATACACAAATTGTTTCATGGCATTGGCTGCAATCCCGCATTGTGTTGGTACTCTCCTCCTTTCCCTTTCCACCCTGGGTTCACCACGTCCATTCGTCTGGTTTTCTTGTTCCCTCCCACCTTCTCGTCTTTGTTCCTGGTCAAGTGTTGCCTATTTGATCTCATATACTTGATTGATCTAAGAAGCACATTCCTCACATTTGTTATTGTTTGTCTTATAGGCCTACCTAATCTTTGGCTGAAAGGTGAGCTTCAAAAATGGCTTCAAGTCTGAGTTAGAAGGGTGTCTGGGGACCGTAGTCTCAGGGATTCCTCCAGTCTGTGTCAGACCAGTAAGTCTGGTCTTTTTTGTGAATATGATAATTTTTCTACATTTTTCTCCTCCTCTGTCTGGGACCGTCTATTGTAATACCAGTCAGAGCCGTCGGTAGTGGTGGCCGGGCAGCATCTAGTTCTTCTGGTCTTGGGATTGTGTGGGCTGTGGTTCATGTGGTCCATTAGTCCTTTGTACTAATCGCTCCCTTGGGTCTTTAGTTTTTTTTCCGCTTTCCTTGGCTCTGGACTAGAAGGGGCCGATAGTTGTGACTTAGATGGCAGCTCACAAGCTTTTAAGACCCCAGATGCTACTCACCAAAGTAGGATGTAGAACATTGTCTTTAAGAACCATGTTGTGCCAATTGATGTAGATGTCCTCTGAGTCTATGGTCCTTTGCCTTCAAGCCTGGGAACTTCATCCTGTGAGATGTTTAGTTATGTCTAAGAGGTTTCCCCGACTGTGCCACTTGTGTGCTCTAAAGGAATACATTTTAAATATGAAGACACAAATGAAAGGATGGAAAAAAGATAACATGTTAAAAAAAAAAAAGATGGAATGGCTATATTAATATCAGATGTACAGTAGTACATTGATGTCAGATTCTAGAGCTTAGAATATTACGAGGGATAAAGATCATTTGATAATGACAAAGGAGTGAATTAATCCAAAGGCATAATAATCATATACATTTATGCATGTAATAACAATGCTTCAAAAATACATGAAGCAAAAAGTGGTAGAATTGCAAAGAGAAATAGAAAAAGCCATGATTATAGACAGAGATTTAAATACCCCTCTCTCAATAATAGAACAGATAGAAAATCAGTAAGGATATAGAAGACTTGCACAATGCTACCAACCAACCTGATTGACATTTATAAAACACTTGACCTAACAAGGGCAAAAATTGACATTTATAGAAGTCACCTAACAACAGAAGCATGCACATTCTTTTCAAGTACACGTGAAACATTTATAAACATGGATCATACTCTGGGTGTAAAGTAAGTCTCAGTGTATTTAGAAGTATTTAAGTCATACAGAGTATGTTCTTTCACTGTATTAATAAATTAGAAACCAATAACAGAGATACCTGAAAAATTTCCTAATATTTGGAAACTGAGTATCAGATTTCTAAGTAACACATGGATCAAAGAAGAAATTCAAAGGAAAATTAGAAAGTATGTTGAACTGAGTTAAAATGAAAACATGATATAACAATTTGTGGGATGCTGCTTAAGCAGTACTTAGGAGACAATTTATTGCACTAAACATCTATGTTAGAAAAGAAGAAAAGGCTTAAATCAATGGACTCATGAAAAAGGAAGTGCAAAATAAGCTGAAAGTAAACAGTACAAAAGAAACAAAGAGCATAGTAAAAAATCAATGAACTAGGAAACAGAAAATAATGAAGAAAATTCAAAGAAACTAAAATATGGCTCTTTATGAAGATCAGTAAAATTGATAAATCTCTAGCCAGCTTTATCAGGAACAAAAGAGAGAAGATATAGATTACCGGTATCAGGAACGAGAGAGATGACATCACTACAGATTCTATAGATATCAAAAATATTATAAGGGAATATTATAGACAACTCTATCTCCATGAATCCAACAATTTGGATGAAAGGGATAAATTCTTTCAAAGTCATAAACTACCAAAGCTCACTCAAGAAGAAATAGATAACCTAAATAGCTCTTTTATTTATGAAATTAAAATTGTAGTTAGAAACCTTTCCACAAAGAAAACTCCAGGCCAAGATGACTTCAGTGGTGAATTCTGCCAAACATTTAAGGAGAAAATAATGCCAATTCTACATCAATTGTCCCAGAAAATTGAAGAGAAGATAGTACTTCCAAACTCATTCTTTGACGCCAGCATTACCCTTAGACTAAAACTTGACAAAGACAGTACAAGAAAAGAAAACTACAGACCAGTATCTCTCATGAACATCCAAACTCTAAGACCAAACCCATTCCTGTTGAGTCAATTCCAACTCATAGTGGCCCTGTAGGACAGGAGAGCTGTCCCATAGGGTTTCCAAGGCTGTAAATCTTAACGGAAGCAGACTGCCACACCTTTCTCCTGCGGAATGGTTAGTGGGTTTGAACTGCTGACCTCTTGGTTAGCAGCTGAGCACTTAACCGCTGCACCACCAGGGCTCCTCCTTATGAACATAGATACAAAAATTATAAAACAAAATTCTAGCAAATAGAATTCAACAATATATAAAAGATAATGTAGCATGTTCAAATGGGTTTATCCCAGGAACACAAGATTGGTTTAACATTTGAAAATCTGTGTATTTAATTCACTATATTAATAAACTAAAAAGAAAAACGATATGATCATTTTAATAGATGCAGAAAGAGCAGTTGACAAAAATCAGTTTGTGTTCCTGATAGTTTTCATCAGCAGAGTAGAAGGGAACAACCTGATAAAGGACATCTAGGACAAATCTACAGCTAATATTCAGACTTTTGTATACGCATGAAAATTCACATTACAAAATGTTAAAAAAAAATACTGATTAGTGAGAAAATTACTTCATACGTATTCATAGATACTGAATAATCATGGTAGCATGTTAAAAACGAGAAGAAGCCTTCAGGATCATACTAACTTAAACTGTTTATTTTTTTATAGGTCAGTATGGAAATCCTTTAAGTAAATATATTAGACATTATGAAGGATTATCTTATGATGTGGATTCATTACACCAAAAACACCAGCGTGCTAAAAGAGCAGTTTCGCACAAGGACCAGTTTTTACACCTAGATTTCCACGCCCATGGGAGGTGAGTAAATTTCTTGCTGTGTCTGAAGAACTCTTATATATTCAGTCTAAATTCAAAGAAAAAGTTTATTCCCTTAATTTTCCTTCTCTAATGGAAAGATCCCCATTTGGAAATGCAGCCTCCATTGAAATTTGGTATATGCATTAAAAAATGTCTTTTAAAATGGATTGCCTTTTTTATATTGTTAAGGAAACAGTCAGATGTAAATATTGTTAAATTTATTCATAGATCCTCTATTGTTATATTATTCGAGGATACATCTGTAAAGAAAATTCTGTTACCATGGTTTCCCACTACCGTGTGTTTTATGGTCAGCAGATCTGTCTTTTGGTGCCAGCAGTAATAGTAACTAGTTGTACGCCTTTGAATAACTCATTCGATTTCTCATTAACTCAGTTTTATCAGCTGGCAGGTAGATTACTTGCTGTACTCCTCAGTTCTCAGAATTGCTGAGGGATAAAGGAGAGTGAAGGGAGAGAGGTAAAAATCACATTTATTAAGTGCTTATTTTGTTCCGGGTGCATAGATGTTTTATATACATTTTCTTATTTCTTAACACCTAAACAAGGTAAATGTCCTTTTATACTGAGGAAACTAAGGCTTGGAGAAGTTAACTAACTTGTTTAAAGTCCTCAGCATAGATTTGACCCAGACCTTGCCCATATTCTTTTCCTTCTGTCTTCTAGATGCAAAATCTTGAGTTTGTCAGGCCCTCTGCCTTGCTTGCTGTAATTAATAAATCTATATACCTTTTGTACTCTTTCTACTAATGTAACTGTGATTGAGACCTATATTATTCACCTCCACTAATGGTTACGCACTAGACTTCTAGCTGAAAGGTTGGCGGTTTGAACCTACCCAAAGGCGCCTGGGAAGATAAGCCTGGCGATCTGTTTCTGAAAGGTCACAGCCTTGAATATCCTGTGTGCTCCATTCTACTGTGCACGCTTGGGGTCGTCATGAGTCGAAATCGACTTGATGACAGCTAACAACGACAACAGAAAGTTTCCCAGCTTCTACTGTTCATCATGAAAGCTGTCCTACCTACTGCTACAAGACAACTCTTCCCTAAATGCTTCCTTTTTCATGTCTGCTTATGGCTCTACAACTGTCAGCCAGATTTCTCAGTTTGGCTTTTGAGATACTCTGTAAATGGATCCTACTCTATTGTTTTATTTATTTATTAATAATTTTTTATTGTGTTTTCAGTGAAGGTTTACACAGTAGTTTAGGTTCCCTGTCAACAGTTTCTGCACAAGTTGTTCAGTGACATTTGGTTACATTCTTCGCAGTACATGAACTTTTCATTGTTTCCATTCTGGTTGTTCTGTTTCCATTAATCTAGTTTCCGTACTTCTTACATTTTCATCTTTGTTTTAAAATAATTGTTGAATGGTCTCATGTAGGTGATGTTTTTAAAGGAGCACAGTATTTATGGGTGATATTCATTATTTTTTTGAGCCAACTTGTTATTTAGCTATAAGCTGACCTCAGGGATTAGTTTCAGTTCAGGGGTTGAAGAGAATCTCAGGGCAGTAGTCTCAGGGAGTCCTTTCGTCTCAACCAGTCTAGCAGGTCTTTTTTTTTTTTTTTGGGAATTTGAAGTTCCATTCCACATTTTTTCCCATTCTATCAGGCTCCATTTATTGTGGCCCTGCTTGGAACGGCCACTAGTGGTAGCTGATCTCAGGGTAGATGAGGCTGTGGTTCGTGTAGACTACTTGTCCTGTAGACTAGTTTCTTCTTTGAGTCTCTGATCTCCCCCAGTCTGTTATTTTACAGTTACTTCATTTCTTGCCCAACATGAAGTTTCTGTTTCGCCTAAAATGATCTTCTGATTGTTTGCTGAGTATACCACGTAGTTTTTGTTCTCCGTGTTGTTTGTGTACCACGTAGTGTCCGTTCTCCGTGTTGTTTGTGTACCACGGAGTGTCCGTTCTCCGTGTTGTTTGTGTACCACGGAGTGTCCGTTCTCCGTGTTGTTTGTGT